GTGCGTCGAGTGAGAAGATCTTTGGTGTCGTGTGCGCGCTCAAAAGCTGTATATCAGTAGTAAAAGAGCATAAAAAAAAACACCCTGCAGCATAGCTGTGAAAAGAGCGGCTTTTTTAGAATTTTATTTTATTCAATATAAAATAAAAATCATTAAAAAAGTAATTTATTAAGCATTTATCAAAAAATGTTTATAGCCATGTATTTTATGACAGAACGGAAAGTTTTATTTGCGTTTTTGGATTTAATATTTTTTGGTAACTTCCAAAATCAAATTTCAGAATAATTTTTGGTGAAAGTGGAAAAAATTGCAATTAATATTTGTGAATTATTATAACATGAACTGAAAAATAGTTGAAATTATCGCGTTTATCTTGATTATAAAAATTGTATAAAATGCAATTTTAAATTAATATTAGTAATTTTTCTTGGGCTTTCTGCACGCGATTTTTAAAATCGACCGGACGAGTGATGAGAAAAGAAGCACCAGCTCTTCCCCCTCAAAAGTGCTCACCGAACTCAGCCTCCGCGCGTTCCCCTTTCAACTCTTGTCCCAGTGGAATTCTCTCTTTGGTACACTTCAGTATAAAAACGTGTTTGTCTTCTGATGATAAAAAAATATGAATTATTTTCAATAATTCATCTTAAATTGTGGGAAAAAAACGTGAAGAAAATACATTAAATTTTCTAGAGTTTGTTAATTTGTTATGTTTAAAATTTTCACATCTTCTTTCTTGGTTTTGTACATTCAATAAGTTAAGTAACATTTTTTTATCTGAGTTTCTGCGTCCAAAATGGCATAGATATTTGAATTCTTTTAGCTTAGATCGGTTTTTAATATTCTAAATAATTTTCATCACTAAATACAAGAAGCACTTTCACATCAAATAACACCCAGAAATTCAGCCCATTGGAATGGAGCATTATTTGCATAAAGGGCCAATCTAGCAGCATATTAAATTACACCCCACCCAAGAATTTCCTAATTTATTTACATTAGGGCTTCATAAATCAATCGCAGGGGTCCCACTGTTCGCATAAAAACGCACTTGGATGCCGAGATTAAATTTCCTTCCTGTGTAGCCTGCGGAAAAAAATCTGGCGCGGAAAATCAGATCGGCGCCTTTCACAATTTCTTTTTACTCTCCCCAAACAGTTACATTGATTTAACCAGAGATATTTTAATCTTTTTCTTCTTTAGCCGGTGCAAAATACATTTTTCACTCATGGCCAGCTTCAAAATAATATGAAGCAAGTAAATATTTTGGGCAGTCTAGAGTTTTGCTTATTTAGGCTTAAACGGTCGTACGAGATAAAAATTGTATCCTACGAAGCAGCAGCACGGCCAAGTTTTAATACTGCACAAAAAGCTTGAAGGAAAAGTTGGCGAGATCATGTATAATATAACTCGATTATTATTCATAAGATTCCGTTCGTCCGATTTTTCTTTCATTAAATTTTGTTTGGCGTGAAGCCAGCGCCGTCGCCGTCGCCGCCGGCACTTTCCTCCTCTTCCACGCCCAGCAAATTGAGATCAAATCGCAATCATTGCCGTTGCACGTATGTACAAACGAGGACGCTTCACTTTACAATCGCAAACTTTTTTCCTCGCGCGCCGCTGAATCGCGACGATTTCAATAGAGACCTGATGAGCGTGAAAGAAAAGCGCCCTTAATCAAGACGAAAAATCGAATGAATTCAAATTTGAATTGCAATTTGTATGAAATTATAATGAAACAATGAAACAATTTATTCCATAGATATCAATTTTCATGGCTTGGAATAAATTTATAAAAGTTAGAAAGTGACTCAAAATTTGATTTTTCTTTTGTTTGTTTAAAATTCTTTGAATTCAATTAAAATTACGATTTATCTTGAGAATTTTTATTTAATTTCTCTCTTTATAATGAGCTTCGATGAAATTAAAAAGATCCAAACAATTAATAAAAATAAATAGTTTTTAACAATTAGCAGTTAAAATTTCACGATTTGCTGATTTCCACGCACTTGTGAAAGCCTTTCGGAAAGCAGAATCCTCTTGAATCCCATCGGCGCAATTTTCTCGAGGCGAAATCCATATTTTCCCACGGACTGGCGTGTGAAAGCAAGGGATTTTCCATCGGCCGGGGCCACATGTTGGCTGGAGCCCGCGGCGTTTCCTTTTTTCGCGTCAAATGTAGTGGGTGTATTAATCCCAAACCGCAGCAGCGACGGCGGCTGAGAATTTATGCTATGCGTTCAAAAGCAAGCTCTCTTTGATGATAGATATTCGTGAGCGCGCTCTTGCGTGTTGCCAGAAATGAAAATATACACACGACGTGCTGATGCTTTTTGCGCCGCTTTTCATTCAATATCCCCTTGCATTGTCAAACGCATATCCATGCGGGAGTTGCCGTGGAATTTGATATGTGTGGTCTGAAAATGCGTTCGGTTTCGCGAATTTACATCGGGCGAGCTGTCATCGATTCTATCCCAGCAGTCCACGCGACAATGAATTCCGACCAAAGTAAACATTGCTATTTATTTTCAACAACTTATTTCCATCAAAAACATAGACGGTTGAAAAGCTTCTTAAGTGAAATTTTGAGCTCGAAACTGATAAGCTCAATTTTCTTTTTCCACACTGAATACACTGGTGAAAAGTATTTGATTTTATTTATTCTGGTAATGAATATAATTTTTAAATTATTTATATTCTGCTTCAGAATACATTTATGTAAGATTTATTTTTACTTTCTTAGTTTATTTTATTTTATTGAATATCATTTAACACTCCAGGCAAATGCCGTATGAAATTCAAGAACAAATATAAAATTACGTTTATTGAATTTTAACAAAAAAATTATCAATGAGTAAGAGTTTTGTGACCTTTTAGAAAAATGATTGTACAAATGAATTGGAACAAAATTTGGTCTTAAATGTTGCTATTTATATGTAGAGAGACTTTTTTTAATCAGTGTAAAGTTAAATTATTATTTTGGGTTTTTTCAAAGCTGGTTTGTTTTTTGATATCTTTTTAATTTTAAAGCAAAATCTCCGCCTATACAAATAGTAATGAGTGAGTTGCTCCGTCTTAGAAAAATATTCACAATCCTAGAAAAGCAATCAGATTAGCGTCAAAAGAGTTTAAATCTGCAATATACTCCGTACAATATTTTAATATTATTTACTCTTAATTAATCAAAATTGTTAATATATTTTAATACTTTGATTAATTCAATAAAAACTGCAAATTTAAATTTTATACTGACATGTTTCAAAAGCTGTTTTTTATATTCAGCTCATTTTTAGTAACAAAGTTTTAAACTAAAAAAGAAACTTTTAGTGACGAATCGTGATGAAATCTGGTTCAAATCACCTCCTGCGAATCTCCCCAGCGAATTTAAACGGCAGCCAAAACATTCTTCTCCATATATTGGCCGCGCGTCTTGCAAGTGAAGTGAGACTGGCACGGTGCACTTACCAACCAACAACAGCAGCTGTCGATAACAGTGCCCGAAGCAGACGCGGCTAATTTTAAGTAGCGTCTCCTCCCTCGTCAGTCAACCACCAGCCCGACGGGCAGGCAGAGGAAAAAAAGCCAACCTCAATAGCAAGAGAAAAAGCAGCCCGGGGCCTCGCAAGGGTGAATCTTGAGTGAGGACGAGGACTGGTTCCTGCCGCCCCTGCCCTCCTTCCTGCGGCCCCCGCAGTGGGCCTGGGAGCGGCGCTGCACCCGGAGGCGGCGCCGCCGCCCAAGGTCGCGCCACCTTCGAGGGGCGGGGGCGGAAGGACGAGTACCTGAGGACGCGCGCTTCATCTTCCTGAATTTCGTGCTGCTGGCCGAACTCGAGGAATTCGAGGAGGTACTCGATAAATCTACCGCCGCCATTAAAATGGAAATCCGCCCGCAATTTATTGCAACTTTGATCTTAACCGACCCACATTACGGGCTCCTTGCAATGCATGCCTTGTGGCCGACCGGCCGTTCTGTTCGGCACGTGTGCAAGGTCAATCATAACTCTCGGTCAGAAGCAAGCGGGGGATGCGGGCGCGCAAGCCGCAGTGCTTGAATCATCCGAGCCCACGCACAATTTCCCACAAGCATGAATTATTCATCTAGTCTTATATAGAACATTCAATTTTTCCCATTTTTCAGGTGTTTCCATGCAACTCCCATTTTTTTTATTTATTTATTCTCCAATGATTTCAAACATTGAAAATTGTTGCATAAAAAATATAGAAGAAACCATGAGGATAAAAAAAAAATAAAAGCCTGTGTTTCATATTTTTCACTAAACCACCTGAAAAATCAAAGAATTTCAAATACGTATAAATAATTAAAACGTTTATATAATTTATTGTTATTATTATTATTAATAATTATTTGTTATTTGTTATAATTCTTATTAATTTATTATTTTTATTATTTCTATTTGTATTATTATTATTATTATTATTATTATTGTGGTTTTTGTTTAATCATCCTATTTTTATAATCAATATAATGAATTGTTATGGAACAAGCAGGAACTGTTTTGCTAATCAGCACTTTTTTTTCAACCAATTGTTCAAGCGTGTTTAAGACCATTTAATTGATAAAAAAAATGGCATTATTGAGTCTTTTTTAACATAATGACAACATTTAAAGATGGTTCTATTTATCAAAAGGGATTAATGGAATCAATGAAAATTCGGTTGGTTTAATGGACGTTTATTTAGTTTGTAAACTAGCTCAATTAAATTAATTTTGTTGTAAATTCAAAATAATAATTAAAAAATATTTTTTTGTCTAGAAGTTTCATATAAAATAAAAAAATCTTTTGAAAAATTTTGCGTTTTCCCAATTAAGGTAAATTCGGCCCAAGTTATTTTAGCCCTAATTCATCCTGATGAGAAAACCGCTAGAGCTCCTTACTTTGTGAGATATAATAAAGAATTAAACAGATCCGATTGAATACTTATTTTTTTTCTTGATCGTTTGATTAAACTAACGAGCTTTTGTTGTTGTTGTTGTTGCAGGACCTTCAGAGCGAAATCGAGTGCCACCGCGACGTGTTCTCATCTCTGAATGGCGCCGGCCGAAAGCTGCTCGGCTCTCTGGCCAGCCAGGAAGATGCAGTCATGCTGCAGAGGCGACTCGACGAGATGAACCAGAGGTGGAACCACCTAAAGGCCAAAAGTTTAGCAATAAGGTAAGATTGCCCTGCGGAGACGTTCAATTTGCGAATGACGCCGCAACTTTTTTCATTTCTGCCGCGATCCAATCTCCATCTACCGACGCAAAAGTTGCACGAGATGAAATCTCGCAGTATGCATTAGAGCGTATTATGCCCATTTCCCCACGAAACAAGACATAAAGGCATCGATTGCGTTCGTTTTACTCTAACCAAATCGATCGAATAGGAAAACCCACAGATTACAGTATCGTATTTAATTAAGTAGATGGTTTACAAATTAGATAAAAGCTAATAAATGGAATTTTTTAAATTTTTTAGTTAATAATCAAATAATTTGAAATTTAAATTTGAGATAGAAAGTTGAGGGAAAATAGGAGCGTCTGCCTTTGGCAGCAAATTAGCATTCATTGGGCCTCTCACTTTTTATGTTGGCGAACATTCTCGCTCAGTGACAAGTGTATTGAAATTATATAAAAGTTATATTGGAAATATGATAATTTTTTTATATATTGTGGACATGCATGCAGCGTGACTTATTTATATGCAAATGCGATGTGAAAAATTCAAACTCTGTGCAGGTCGGCGCGGCGCTGTGCAAGTTTCTGTTTGAAAGGGGATGTGATGAATTTACTCGGAAAAATAGAATAGATAGTTGATTTGAATTAATGCTCAGTCACTCTCAACTTTCTTCTGAAAAAATAGATTCAATTTATTTATTTTGTATAGAAAAACGTGAGAAATTTGAGTCTGGTCTGCTGCGGAAATTAAATTTTACAAAAAAGAAGAGTTAAAAATTTGCCGCGTTTTTTTTTCATCTCCGTTCTGGACGATCGAACTTTGGGGTGCGAGGAGGCGCGGGGGAGATGCGAGCGATATGACCCTGTGTGTTGACGAGAGGCACAATGGCGAACAAAAAAGTACACGGCCATGCTAATGACTGCGGACCTCCCCAGGGGACGATAATGCCCAATTATACCTGCCGCACTTCCGCCCCAACAAATGTCGTTTTTCCGACGCCGCTTGAAAAATGGATGACGCACCGCGATAAAAAAAAAAATACTGGAGATTTCAAGTTTTCGCAACGCACAGTGAGAGAGAAAACGAGAGAGAGCTGGTAGCGGCGCTAATCTGAAAAGATTTATTCCTAAAACATTGGAGGAGGATCATGAAAAACTTTGAGAATTATGATTTATCTGCTTTCGGCAAGTTTCCACCTTACTTTGCCCTATTAGGCCCAAACGTAACAAGATGTTATTGCCCACACGCATTTTATTCCAAAATTTCTCAATGCAATTCAGCATCATTTTAAATGCACTTGAGCACTTATATACAAACTCGCTTTGATCCAGACGCATAAAATCTATCTAATTAATTGTTATTTTCTTCACGGAAAATTTTAACAGATTGGTAATGGTGTAAAATCTTAGAGCATTATGTTAGTGTTTCCATTGAAGATTTATCTCAATTAAAAATAAAATTTTACACAAAATTTTGATTTAATCTTTTGTTGCTAAATTTTTGTATTAAAAATGTTGTAAATATTGTAAAATAAAAGCTCGAAAGCATAAATTCTTTTAAAACAAAAAGCGTTTGGCTCATAACAGGGATATTACTCATTTCAAGCTCCGTTGGGGCCCAAACGTCTCCTATGCGGAACAGTAAACGCGCGAGCTGCCGTTGGGAATTTAAGATGAAGCTCTTTAAGGTTTTTATTTCTAATTTCATTTATTTTAATAAGATGATTTAATAAGAAGCTTCAAAGCTTTAAAGATTGAAATGGTAGTAAAATAAATGTTCAAGAATAATGAATTTTTATCATTGTCTGCTCAGTATCAGTACAGGAAACCAAAGCAATATAAAACCAGCAGAACTTATTCAAGCGGCCATTACACACAATTTATTTAATAAAATTGATGTAAAAAATGAGAGAATTTAATTTTGCAGTTTAACAACAGCATTGTGAATTTTAATTCTGTTTAATGTGGTTAATTCTGTCTTTAACCGAAAATCAAGTTCTCTTTTCCTGGCGTATATTCAATCTACACTTTCGATTTACGTTGAGCATTAAAATTTCATTCTGTTTTGTCATTTTCTCCGTATAGAAGCTGCTGTCGCCGAATGCATTATAGCCGGAAGACGTTCCGCTCGCCAGCTTTGTCCGACTGGCTGCATAGTTTCGAGTTTCGCAGGGGCCCTCTTCATACATACGACGCGCATTATTCATGGCGGACGAGAGAGACTTTGTCCTATCTCGCTGCTCGCTCTCGTCTAATTTTACAAGTCGCTATTTACAAAATATTATGCTAATGCTCGTCAGCGGCATGTAATGACATTAAATATACCGTCCGCTGTGTAAGACGCTTCTGCTGGTGCATTAAAACATACAAAGCTGACAAAGGCGAGCGGCGTGCGGGTGGGCATGTGCCTTATGGCGGCGCCACTTAATTATTCAAAAGAGCCTGTTCTCTTACTTAATGTTATTGGAAATGAGGCGTATCACATTCTGGCGGGGAGGACTTTGATGTGCGCCGAAACCGCACCGTGCAGGCAGAGACCGAGTCCAACGGACTTGTCACGGCAACCCTTCTCTCTCTCTCTCCCTCTGGCTGCGGCCACCGCCGCCAGGCCAGAATTTAATTATCGGCGGGTGCGAAACCGATGCATGCATACCGACTGTAAGTGGCGCACTGCGATTTTCACAAAATTGCTCTCTCGGCGCTCAATTTTGGGAGTCATTTTTTATTGCATTTCAGTATAATTATTTTTTATATTTTGCGAAAATTTGACTATTTGCTTTCGAAGGTAATTTTGCTTGGACTTAGTACATACGAAATTTTAACGATATTATGAGGTTTTTTTTTCTTTTTGATATTTTAACTCCGTGTTTTCCAAGTTTTGTGAATTAATTACGTCTACTTGGAAAAATGGTTATCTCATTTTCATCCTAACCATTGAATATTCTTCATCACTTTTAACGTTTTGTAACAATGGAAAGATAAATAAAATAATAAATTTTTCGCTAAAATTGTCCGATATGGTTAAGAGTTTGTATTATTAAAATAAACTCATTTTTATGTTCATTTATTGCAAGATTTGTTGCTTGTTTTAAAACTGCAGCGGTGTACCGGAAGATTGAAATCGACAAAATTAATTTTTAATAATATTAACAGCCAAAATTACTTTTATATTAACAAACATATCTAGCGAAATATCATGAAGATAGTATTGAAAGTCTCATTAAACTTGCTTCTATTGTTCTGAGTAGTTTAAAGTCTAAAAATCTGTTAATCCTTCTATTTCAGTCCCATTTGTTGGAAATTGAAGACAATTAACGTCAGTATTAAATGGGTGCTAATCTGCATAAAATAAATTATTAGAGCATTAATGCTTTTTTTCAGAGCAAATTACAATAATGCTGACTGATTATATTATAAAATATACCATCCTTATTTACAATAACATACCTTAAAAAAAATAATAAATAAAACGCACAACCTATAAATGGATAGTTAAAGTTCTTCAAGAAAAATGAATTAATTGTTATTCAAATTAAAATCTCAAGTTTGTAGCAGATTGAATTATTAATTTTTTCGTGAAATGAATAAATTCGCAAGCGGCAGATTTTAATTAAAACCTCAACCTCGCCAACCCTGACAGTCTAATCCCGAACGTCTTAACCGCTCACGCGGCGCCTCGGGGAGAAATTAAAGAGAACAAAAATAAAGCAAAAAACGCACAGACGGGGCTGCGTTACCCGCGGGGCAAATCATTATCAAGTCGTCAGGTTTGGGCGATTCTGGAGTGATAATTATGACGTCAAGCGGCTCAGCCGAGCGCGTAAAGGGACGAGGGGGTTATCGAGGTGAGACGAGGGAGGGAGAGGGGATGATGTATTGCAAGACGCCTTCGCCCGTAATTAATACATCAGAGTATGCAAAAAGCGGCGCCGCGAAATTTATAAGCAAGACAGGATCACTCGCACACTTTTTGTGTTTTGCGAAATTAATTACACGCACCCGAACCACTTAGCGCGCGCCCGCCTAGCTCTTTCACCCTCGGGCCCCGAGAGTGTGTGTTTGCAAGTGTCCCGGGTGTGTTGCGCGATTTAATTTCGATACGCCGCCTGTCGCCCTGAGTGATGCGCGCGCGAAACTTGGCCGTAATGAGAAATGTTTCCTACACACAATTTTCCGCGTGTGCTAATTCCGTGCCGCCGCCGCCGCTTACACACATACATAATAATGCAAATGGGTGTGCAAGTTTTCCGACGGGCGGTTGTCACATTGCGTTGCGAGGCAACTGTGCTGGCAAACAAAGATAACAGGTTCATTCAACGCGAAATCTTGATTGCCGTGCTTTTGGTTTAGCGAATTCTGAGATTTTTTACACAATTCTAATCGTTATCATTTGCTCAACTGAACAAAATCCACACTAAATTGGTTGCTTATGTTATATTTTTATTTTTCTTTGTTTTCAGATTTTCAGACAGGGTGTCGCACTCTTGAATTTTCAATCCTCTAAAAAATTATCATCAATAAACTTAAAACCGAATTAGTCACACATTATTTTCTAAGTTCCAGTAAAAAAAAACTTATTATTTTAAGCTTAAACTTTATTCCATTAATGGTAATTGTTTTTTAAAATTCAAATTTTTGCAATTCAAAATTAAAATAATTTATTATTTATACTTTTTTTTCTTCAAATTATTTTTTTACTCCTAAATTTGAGAAAGACTTTCCAATTTAAAACACTTATTAGTCCAATTTATTTAATTATTTAAGGAAGCTGACATTCTTGTTTTATTTTTAATAAATATTATATTTTCTAAAGGAAAATATGGATGTGGTTTTCCTCCAGTCTAATATTCTGTAAATTATCCACAAAAAGGTAAAAAATAGTCATAGAATTCAAATAGTCTCTTTTGGCTTCATAATCAAATCCACTTTCTGCATACCCTTACTTTTAATACTGAGATTATGTTGCTAAAAATAAAAATAATTGACGTTGTATTTTGAAACAGAAAGACAATTTGCAAACATTTCTTATTAACCTTATTACGATAAATTTTGGAGCAATTTAAAAAGAATAAAAATGGCATCGTCAGATTTTTTATATTTTTTTGCGTCAAACTTCGCAGCAAATGAAATTCTAAACAAAATAAAACAAAATTTCAACAATCTTCCATTCGAAAAATGTCTCGAATGCAATTTTTATTTCGTCTTCTCTAACTATGCAGACGTCTCGTCAAAATATCAGGTTTCGCCGATCAATTTTGCAATATAATATGATGTGGCGTAAAATAACAAGCCGCGGAACTGAAATTCATCCAATCCATCCGTTCCAATTCGTTGCCCAGTCTTGCAAGAAGACAAATGTATAAAAAAGGAAATGCAATTTTCCTCCTCTTTCTCTCAAATGAAAAGGAGCAGTATATAATTTCAGAGTGGAGCTCCGTCTCGTCGTTTAGCGTGATGGTTTATCGCGGCGAGCAGCGCAGTAAACCTTTCTTTTATTATTTGAGAGGTGGATGCACCGCGTGTCTGTTTGTTGCACGTTTTCGCGGCAAATAGACTTCCTTATCGATTCGTCTATCCTGGTCTATCCCTCACATCCGCACCCCGAGCTACACGCAGTCATTTTCCATCAAAGCTGCCTTTTTTTTATTGATGAACCTTCCTTCGATCACTTGTAAAAAATCATATATATTTTTTTCTTTCTATCGTGCGGTGTGCTATGAAGGCTGTTGAGCGCGGCCATCGGAAAGCAGTCGTTGTGTGAAATATTGCTCGGCAGCTCGTTAATTTTTAGTGGACGGCTGGCGAGCGTTAAAGGTTGGTCCTAATGGGTTATTGTATGTTTAAAAGAAGGAAGGTGCAGCCTCCTTACAAGAAGGAGATCGTTTCAAGAGACAAATTCGCTATCTCGTAAAATATAAACGAGATGAGGCGTATGATGTTTAAATTGATCGTTAAAGCTCAAAGAAGTTAGGAATCGATAAATTGGTGAAAACATTATCTTTTTTCCTAATTAAGTGACTTTTAGGCTTAAATTATAGTTAAAAAGCCCAACAAAAGTTGTTTTTAAATTACTTAAACAAGTTGCCTGGACATATTTAATCATTGAGCATTTATGAAAAATATTTCCAGCAAAACTCCTCGCTCAAAAAATTTGTGAAAAAAAGGTGATCAAAAGATTGTGATTAGGAATGTTTAATAATGAAGAAAGCTTCTTATTGGCAAAAGGAGTCTCATAGACATATGTGAGATGATGCTTTTGAGTTCTTATACAATATTTTTCCATCTTTGAAAAAAAAAAAAATCTTTTGTGTTCTATTTAATTTAAACACCAGAAATATGCTTTTTTAATTTGCTAAGAGAACAGATAATTATGAAAATCACTTTAAGCTTGACCAGTTTAGGAATTGAATTAAAAAGGATTTGAGACTTGTTTTTCCATTAGAGTTTTGAACTCGAATGAATTTTTCGCTCTCATGGAAGAAATGTAAAATCCAATGGTGACCTCTTCTCTATGTAAAAGTTTCTCCCATGGCGCAACGGCGGAGATGAAGAAACTGAAAAAGAAAAGAAATGTTCATGCCCCTCGTCTTATTCCCCTTGCTATTATCATGTTGACTGTCCATTAAGGCAAAAACAAGCGTCATAATCTGCAGAGTGAAGAGCTCGCGCGCAGTAATCATTTGGCGGAAACGCAAACAGCCGCAATTCCGAATTCCGGCCGCCGCCTGATAAAACTCAAAATTACTTCTGTGGCACTCTCTTGGCCGCGGCAATCTGCATCTAATTATGCAGCACGCACGTCTCCGTGCGATAAAACGAGAAATGAAAAATCCCCCCTGCGCTCGCCGAATTCGGAGCAATTTGACGGACGGACGACGCGCGCAATTAGCGAAACGCGTCAAAATTCGACCATGTTAATTCGGCTGAGTTCTTTTTAATTAAAAGTTGGCAATTTGCGACCGTAATGAATCGATTAATCATGCAGCTAGCTCGGCGCGCAATTTTGCACATTAAAAAGTGCCGCCGGCTAATCTCCTCCAAGCAGGCGTTAAAAATTAGCCGGCTTCCGCGCCCACTAAAAACACACACACACACACTTTGTTCTTTCTCGCGCCATTCCGGCCGCATTTCCCTGATAAAAACTTTTCCACTTGGTGCCGCATCGCAACAATAATCATCTCCAGTGCCGATTTGGAGCATGAAACACCACTTTTGACTCAAAAGTTCATTTTTATCTTCATTTCAAAGATAATTTGAAGGAATACAAAATTTGTAAGAATTTTTTAATTAAAAGATTTTAAATTTTACCTCAATTTGATATATTTAAACCATTTTCTAGACTGGTAAAAAAAACTTTTTTTCATGATAAGAGGAATTGTATTTTAAAAAGTCGCAATTACGTCAAAAGTCAAAAATGTGTTAAGATAATAATGCCGTAATTTCTATTTTGAATTTTGTTGCATAATTCATCATGACATTTATTTTACAAAAAAAGACATAACAAACATTAATTTAGAGCTAAATTTTGTTCTTAAAAACCCTAATAACTAATCAGCTTCAAGTTTGCTGTGAAACTTTTTTCAAATGTTAACAATATTGAAGATGAAAATACTGGGAAAAGAATTTCAAGAAATCGTTTAGAAAGTCTCAAAATTGTTAAAAAGTTTAAATCAGTTTCAAAAATATTACAAAATAAAATCACATGATCTGTAATAATTATTTATCATACAAACCTCAATTTTTTTCTTCCAAGCTCTCACATGTGCAAAATTAATAAAAAAAATGACATAATTCACAACAAACTAATGCCATAGTGAACTTCAGAATATATTTTTGCTGGTTAAGTTATTATATATATTATATATTTTTTTGCTCTTCGCGAGTTTTTATTCAACAGTTTTATAAATTGTACTTCTTGTTCGTATGTTTTCAGAAATCGTCTGGAAAGCAACGCAGAACACTGGGGAGCCCTACTGTTGTCCCTGCGAGAACTGATTGAATGGGTGATACGCAAGGATACCGAGCTCAGTGGGCTGGGCCCCCTTTGCGGCGACGTGCCCGGACTGCAGAAGCAGCAGGTCACTTTTCCATACCACTCATTTTATTATCCACCTGTCCCACTCACTCTGGCACGCACTCCAATTCAAATTCGCGCTATTTATGGCCAAGATGTGACCCTCATTTGCATGCACAAAATTGAATTCGTTAAATTCGGTAAAAAATGTACATGAATTTTTGCGCCTTCCCTTCGAAGGGAGAGCAAATCTGGACCACTCTCCTCCATTAATGCTGTAATTAGAACACGGCAAATTGCAACGAGACGAAGTAATGGTGTTTACGTGTTTGCAGGATGAGCACCGAGCGTTCAGGCGGCAACTGGAGGATAAGAGGCCGGTGGTCGAGAGCAACCTGCTCAGCGGCCGTCAGTACATTGCAAACGAACCTCCCCTTTCGGATACCAGTGACAGCGAAGGTATGTAACTCTCGAATTGCTACAAATTCGCACCAACTCTTGGCACACAATCCCCAAGGTCTGCGAAAATTTATTTGGCAAGCTAAATTTATTCCTGAAGAAAAATTTTTTATTTGAAGAATTTGACACTCGAGGAGATAATCATGGAAATGAAGCAGTCCTCGTAAAAATAGTTTTTATTCAAAAAGCCGAACAATTTATTTTTACAACGAAGACAAGCCTGACTTGTTCATTTCCAAAAATTTTCAACTCTCACTTCTTTGGCTTTTGAAGTTGGAAAGTGCGATTTTCCACTGACTGGTCTCTCGTCGTAATCCCGGATTTGCGGGCTGAAACGTTGCCGGCGGTTAATTGTTTTAGGAAGATGGGATTAATAATTTGGCCTGTGTCCAAAAATAATAGCAAAATTACATAGAAGCTTCTGTGCTCGGCCCGGCCGGGTGCTGGAATGTTTTTAATAATAACTGTGCTCGGGCGCGTGTGCGGCAGCCGAAATCGTGATTACAGAGGCGGCGGCGCGTTTAATCCTCCGCATGGTCCGTCATTACTTGCAAACCCAGGCGTGCATTCGCTCTGCTTGTGGACAGACTGCAGGTACGCAGGAGGGAATAATTTTGATAATTAATGGCTTATCGTGTCGGATAATTTGGCGCGCGTGCCATCCCCGAAACAACTAAAGTGGCCTCTACACCTTTATCGCCCTCTGGATACACAAAGGATGCTGTTTTGTGATTTGAGCAGATAAAGTTTGATTAATGGTATTTTTTTTTGTTTTTTTATGGGTAAAACTTTTGATCATTCAAAGCACTAATCTTAATCATTCTGGAAATTTATTTTCACATCACTAATTCATCATTTTAAAGTTTTTTTCATTACATAGACATTTATGAGTTTAAAGATGGAAAAGAGAATTTCCCAAACGATAATATGAAATTTTGTGTGGAATAAAATGGGACATTTTTTTCTGTAAATGGTCTCATATTAATTAATTTTTTAATATCTTCTTCTTTAACAATTCCCATTTTCACAAAAGAATCTTGTTTAGCACAATAATTTTTGAGATATTTCCAATTTTCCATAAATAAAACTTGAAATATTTCCCCAAACTTTTTAAATCTCCTTAAAGTAACACATTTTTTTTTCATTGAAGGAAACTGAAAATGATGCAAAATGCTAAATTATTTAAACCTAAAGAGCAAAAGAATAAGATTTTAGCCAGTAACTATAAAGCAAGTGAAATTTGCTCTCTCTTGATACTCTCCTCTCGCAGTTTCGCAAATGAAAAAAATCGCATGTTCAGCATTTTGAAGGCATAACTTGGCCGGGAAATATCGCCGTCTTGGCCCAGCCAGCGTCTCGGCCAAATTAAATATTCGGGCGGACCGAAGGGTGTGAAGGAAGAAGGCACTGCGGCAGCTCCAGCCGGCCGGTCTCTCTCTTGGTAATGACGATAGTCCCCGTCGGTCTCGTCTCGCCCCGAGCAAACGAATTTGTTTAAAACGCGTGACAAACCACCAGCGGCACGAAGAAGAGGCAGCGTGAAAAGAGGAAAAGCGCAAGGTGCTCCCTGGTGGCGTATCACGTCTTAAACCCAACTAATAAATTGCTCGTAAGCTGCTTCGGCGCGTGCGGCCGCCTTGATTAACTGCGCAATTTGCGCGAGTTATTGCAATAATTTTCGGCCACCCCCGGCGCTTGACATCTTTTGTTGCTGAGAAAATGTATAGAGCAATGGAAAAACTATTGGTTTTGTTCTAAAACGAAGGTGAAAGTGAGGAACTGTGTGAAGTTTGCTTTCACTTTTTTTACTGTTCTTACTCAAAAATATGAATTTTAATTTATTGTTAGAGTCAAATGCAGTTTATTAGTTTGATGCAAGTAAATTATTTCTGCCCATTTTGAAATATATCAAAAAAGCAATAATAATGTTATAAATAAGACTAGAAAATATGAAAATAGAAAAAACGTTTTGAGAACCTGGCGAAATTTAACTTATTTACAAAATCTGACCAAATTTTTTAGATTAAAAAAAAAAATAGAAATTCGATCTAAGCAAACTTTTTCAATTATAACACCAAGTACAATTGCCCATCGCAAATGAGAGTCCACTTTTTACTTCAAAGTCGCGAGGGTAACAGTCCGCATGCGAAAAATTAATTAATTGAATTGAAAGCAATTCCTTCTCCTGTCAATCACTGCCCAAAGTTATCATTTTGATATATTATAAAAACAACTCATCTATATCTGCGCCTAAACTTGAGGATAAATTTGCTATAATATCCCATGAAGCATAAAAATAAATATTATTGAGAATAATTAAGTATTGAGAAAGTAGAGACATCATTTTAGGACAATTTTTTTTATCTTTCAAATGTTTAATTTTAATTTGTTGAAACTTATTTTAAAGATAGCTTCTGAAAATAATTATAATAATAAAGAGAATTTGTCTTCAAAGTTGAGCTTATTTTGATTCTGCAAGAGTTTCGGCTGAAGATATTAACAGACATGATAACAAATAGTTCACATTTAACCGAACAAAGAAAATGTTTTCTTAACAACAGAGCTGGTTAAATTGCTTACGAATAAGTCTATAAATTATTCAATAATGATGGTTTTGCTCCCATGAAATAGTTGAAACTGTAGTCAAGCTTTTTTTGCAAAATGAAATAAAAAAAGACTTCTCAGCGAGGAAAATACGGCTCTTCGCGTTCTTCAACACAATAATAATAAAATTCATTTTTGGCCGCAACTTTTCTCATGAACGGCCAAGTTGAAACAATAATAGTTGTTGCTATCAATCAATTTTGCTTTCCAAGTTGAAGCGGCAGAAGCGATTTTGGCTCCCACGGGTGCTTGTTCACCCTTTCGCTCTCTCGGCTACTGTTGATTGTGCAGATTCCATCTTGCCCTCTGCACAACTACACCAGAGAGATAATTGCGAAATTCAGAGATGAATCTGAGGCTCGGCTGGCGTGATCGCGTTAGGAATTTCCTGAATGTGCTGGCGGCGGAATAATAATACCTTGCACTCGGAAGCGCGTCGGACGGCGCGGGCAAACACACAAACGGCACGCCCAGCTGCGATAATAATAATAATTGTAGCGGGAATTGATATGCGCGAGTGCGTTTGTGTGTCGCCATAATTAATTCAATGGCGGTTTTGCCAGTCAAAAGCTCGCGAGTATTTATGATACGACCGGCTTGCTGGTGGCCGACCGCCGGATATTTTTTTTAGACTGCGCACAAACATTGAAATTTGACGATTCGGTGATGAGGCGAATTCGAATGTTTTCGAGAATTGATCCAAATTAATTCTAAAATCTACTTATGAAAGGTTGATTTTATTTCAACAATGAAGCATTGTGCGAAAGTATCTTGATTTTTATAAATAAATTTTGTTATTTTATCTAAAAAAAAAAAATTATCAAAACATATTATTTAGAGGAAAGCGTTACATAGCTTCTATAATATTTAATTATGGCCTTTTTGCATTCGATTTAATTAAAAAATTAAATTATTTACTGATAATTATTTTATATTATTTTGTCATACAATCAAACTATTATTTGATAAAAATATAACTTTTTCATAGGAATAAAATTCAACTCCTTAAATTTTTGTATTTTCTTAGGAACAGAAATAAGGCCTTTTCCCTAATCAAACAGACTTTTAGTAAGACCCAGAAAATTTTGCTGACACTTCCAACCATACTTTAGAAAACCGTGCCAATAAGGGTTGAATAATAAAAAATTTTAGCTCTTCCCTGATATTTTGAACTTGTCAGGCTTGAAATTAGGATTATAAAATTTTAAAAACTGTCGTAACTGAAAATACTCAGATTTTATTATGATTTTAAAATAATTTTGCTGATAATTTTAAAATTGAACATTTGCTTGATTTTTTGATTTGCAGTTGGCCGTGAGGTGGACGGAGACTGTCGCGGTTATCGTTCGGCCGAAGAGCAGGCCCGCGAGTTGACCCGCTCGATCCGGCGCGAGGTGAGCAAGTTGTCCGAGCAGTGGAACGCGCTGATCGATCGTTCAGATCTCTGGCAGCGACGACTGGCCGACACCATCAACGTGAGTACCATCATTTGTGCTGCATGCATGTGACAAACACACACACTTCGACAACGTGTGATAATTATCACCTGGGGAAATTCCGGCAGCGTTGTTTAATTAAATTTGTTTGCTTGCCGCCCGTCTAACGGTCGTGGTGATTGCGAGTGCAGCTTTTCGGCCCGACCGATTTGCGCGGCGCGAAATTTTTCAAATTTTTATTCCGCAGCACTATTTGCAAGAAAATATTGAAAATTTTGAAAAGCCTATCAGTTCTTAATTTTACAACAGGAATAGCACTTTTGCTTTTATGAAATTTTTTTGGATTAGAAGTTTTTATTGGAGCCATTTTTACTATTGTAAAACAAATCAAATTGTGTTTTTGTTTAATTCTTTTAGTGCACAGGGACAGGCGATAATTTAATAAAAATAAAACAAAATGAAAATAATTATGACAAGTTGCAGAAATTTTAAAAATGGAAACATTGAGTAAAAAACTTTTAATGCTGAAATGATTTTTTTATTTTTATTTTTTTTTTTTTTTGATAAATTGGATTTAAGAAAATATTTTAAGTGTCTCTTTAGTAATAATTTTTATACCTAGATTTGGTAAGAATGCAAAATTGCATGACTGAAATTGAGATGAAGATGGAAAAATTTGTACTCCTTACAATTAGGAATGAAACGGGATCATCGAGGGTTCACCTTTTCCGGCCAAAAGCATTTGAACTTTCATGATTCGCTCTCACTCAATAATTCAACCAAACGAGCTCCCATTTCACAAGGTTGCTTTTAGCGTGAAAAGATAAACTTTTCTTTGAAAATTCCATCTTAATTAGGAGTAATGATTATTTAATCTCAATCTTGATTTCCAAAATGAAATTTTGAATCATGCAGAGTTCAAGAATAAAAAAATAATTACTGCTAAGGCCTTAAAATATGAAGAGGATTAAAAAAAATAATAAAGTTTTGGTACGAGCGTGTGGTGCAGCGACGGCCCGAGTTGATTATTGGCAGTAAAGTTTTATTACTATGCGCGCATTCGATGCGGTCCCTTCTTTATTCAATTTTATGTGCACCAATAAATCGTTGCGCGTTGGCCGGCCGTAAAAATCCACGTTTGCGGAATGATTATTAAATATTTGGTCGAGTTATTGAGAGGAGCGCCGTATTCATCGACCGCGCACGCTGGACCGCGATGATTTTTGTTTTATGGGAATTTTTATTTTGGGACGGCGTGTTGACGCGACTTGAAACAAACTAACACCGCCGCGCTCACTCTGCGTTTGCAAATAATAGGGTATGGCGGACTAGTCATTTTTTCTGCTGGTTATTGTCCAAAACGATAAAAATTAAAATTATTTGAAAAAAAAAACTATAAAAGCTAAAATCAACATAAATATAAATGGGAGTAAAAAAAGACGCTGTTTTGGTTAAATTATTAAATTATGTTATTAAAAGAATATAAATCTGCAAATGGCTTTTTTCAGTTTCTGTTGACATAAATAAATACCTTACTTTTTTCGTTGGTAGTTCGCTCTTCATTATTGAGGTGTGGCTGTGCCACCATTAAATTCAGCTTCTTTGTTTTTGTGATCTTCACCAGTTTTACACGTGGTTGAGAATTATTGTATTTTAAGTTTGCCAATTTATTAATTCGTTCTTAAATTTAAAGCACTGTTCTTATCCTAATTATTTGCTAAATTTCCACCATATTTATTTTTATTTTGCAGTAATTCAGTTATTAAAAAAATATTCATAGAGCAACAAAATAATGTTTTTCTATAATTGTTTTATAAAAACCGATAAAAACCTTCAAATTTTTCTGCCACTTTAAAGCTAAAATGCTGTAAGAAGTTCAGTACTCTGATATAATTAGAAGAATAATTTTTTGTCTGAACATTTAAGTTGGTCAGTTTAAAAAGTGCATTGTTTTTGCGTGTCCATACTTTTTTTTGCCAAGTTTTTGTGGAGTGAATTTTTACTCCAATTGCTTAATCTGGCTGCAAACAAAACTGCGTCAGTTAGGGACTTTTCAAAAAGCTGCGCGTTCTGCAATTTACACAACACATAAAGCACGCGCTTTATCTGGCCAACTGAATTATTTGGCGGGCGGCGCGTGCGGCGATAAGAATTCAAATAGCCGCGACAATGCGGATTTCGAGGGTGGTCAGAAAAACGGCGGCTGGGCCGAGAGAGCGAGCGAAGTGAAGAGCGGGCGAGTGCGGCGCAGTGATGGCGATGAATTATGCAAATTTTGGCGCGGCGCTCGTGCCATCAAGGCACACATGCATTAATTAAATCACGCCCAGCGCGCGAGTGTCAAATCCTTTCGAAAAATATTGTCGTGTTGAATGACACCATGCATACTAATCGGCAGACGCTACTCCATGTCGCCCCTGCCATCTTTCTCGTATTATTTTTTTTCTCGGCTACATCTTATTATTCAGAATTGAAAATCAGTTGAATTTATATTCAAACTCAGTTATGAATTATTTGAAAATGCAATTTGATAAAAAAAAAAGGTTTCATTTACATTAAATATTTATTAACTATTGTCATTTTTTTTTTTGTATCAATCAACATGGAAGAACAGTACAAAAGCTAGAAAGCAATTAGTGGAGAATTTCAAAGAGTTCTGATAACTTTTTCTGAAATGAACAATTTATTAAAAACAAATTATAATAATAATTCCTTACATTAGTGACATACTGGTGGCATATTTTTGCGTATCTTTGTCATTACATCCAATTTTTTAAACTAGTTTTAAATGATATCACATTGTCCCATTTCCCTATCAATTTGTTTGCTTTTATTTGTACATAATTTTCTATTTTCCAATTACTCTTTCATTTTTCTGGAATTTTTTCCCTTATTTCCTGTTTTTCTTGCATTTCTATTCTTCTTTAATACCCTTTTTTTTGACAGAATTTCCACTAGTAGAAGCCACTTACCCACTTGAATGCCAGAACTGAAGTTTTCTTATTTTTCTCTTTTAAATTTGCATATCGATCGAGAACATTCCTAAATTTTGGTATGAGGTAATTTTTCCATTTAAAATACAATTTTTCTCCATTTTTTAATGAATATGTTTTCGCCTTGAATATATAATTTGAGCTGCTAAGTAAATTCATTTCACGCCGAGTCTGTACACAGCAGTCGTCTGGCGCGTCGGGAAGAGAGAAAAGTAAAAAAAATCCACACGGTCGCTCGCTTCATTTAAATACAACAAAGTGTAATGAATTCTTTTTTTCTGTTGAGCTCGATGCCAACTGTCTCCTTGCTAATTAGTTTGTCCCACTTTCCCGATGAATTTCGTTTTATTTATACAGCTCCCAATTAAAATATGCCCGTCTGCTTTTCCCTCCCTTCACTCGAACTCTGCCCTCGTCGCGTTTTTAAGTTTGGTCCAATTTGATCAAACAGTTTTGCACCGACGGAAGAGTTTGATCCAATTTGATCAAACAGGCGACTGACGCGACTGACTCGCCTGACGCGACTGACTCGCCTGAAGCGACTGACTCGCCTGACGCGACTGACTCGCCTGACGCGACTGACTCGCCTGACGCGACTGACTCGCCTGAAGCGACTGACTCGCCTGACGCGACTGACTCGCCTGACGCGACTGACTCGCCTGACGCGACTGACTCGCCTGACGCGACTGACTCGCCTGACGCGACTGACTCGCCTGACGCGACTGACTCGCCTGACGCGACTGACTCGCCTGACGCGACTGACTCGCCTGACGCGACTGACTCGCCTGACGCGACTGACTCGCCTGACGCGACTGACGCGACTGACGCGCCTGACGCGACTGACGCGCCTGACGCGACTGACACATGGGTGAATTGAATTTAAAGTCGGCAGCCACAATTCATAACGCTGTGAAACTATTTTTACTAAAATTAATATATAACGAGTGTTATCAGCAAATAATAAATTTTTTTTCTCAAAAATTATTTTTTAATTACAATTTTTACATCAAAAAATTTATTCCGAATTTGACAACTTCTGTGAAAAATATTTATACATATTAAATTTTTTGTTTTATTATTTTGGTTACAATAGTGTTTTGAGCGTTTACGTGAAAAATAAAGCGAAAAATAACTATAGATGTCTCGATGTCTCTCGAACGACCTTCAACGAGAAGGGTACGCTCAAAACACACGACATATTTCTCTATTCTGACACTTTTCCTGCTTAAATTGTTACAAAATTAATTTTTAAATATATTTCCAAAAGTGAAAAAAATTTAACTATGAAGAATTTTTGAGAAAAATTTGCTTATTTGATGAAAACACTTATTTAAAAAATTAATTTTACCACTTAACAATAATCGTCTAATTAAAAAATTAAAATATTTGGTTAAGAAATTGACTTTATAGAATTTTGAGAAAAAATTAACATTTGATGAAAACGCTTACTTATAAATTTAATATATACCTAATTTTTAGTTAAATAATTCCCTAAAATTATCGTGCAATTGTTCGAAAAAAAAATCACGCACCATATTATTTTTTTCAGAAGCTTAGATAATATTGCAATTATATTATAAGAAAATTTTTTATAATATATATATGTAAAAAAATATTTCTTTATCTTAGAGCTGACTTGCAAATAATGTTGAACTAGTTTTTAATTAAAATGAGCTTGCCACATTTGATCAAACAGTTTTGCACCGACGAAAGAGTTTGATCCAATTTGATCAAACAGTTTTGCACCGACGGAAGAGTTTGATCCAATTTGATCAAACAGTTTGCACCGACGAAAGAGTTTTTACTTTTGATAAAAATGAGCCGCCAAATTCGTCCGCTTCTGATTCTTCTTACTGCTTCCTTACATTTTTATTATTTTTATTTTTTAAATTTGTTTCTTTTTCAGTTAAATTGAAAATAACCGTACTGAACATTCTTTTTGAAACTTGAAACTCTTCACAAGTGGAAAAGTTAAATAAGTATTTTTTTAAAGAGAAAAATGTAAAATTAGTTTTAATGAATTGCGCAGCTTACGATTTTTAAAAGCAATAAATAATGATTTTTTTAATATTTTTCAAATAAAAATTTGTATTGAAATTGATTATTTTTAATGTTATTTTTTAGTTTCAGTAACATAGATTAAATTTTTGTGTTTATACAATTTTATATTTTTCTATTCCAATTACCAATTTTGTGTTCATGAAAACTTCTGGTTTTCCGATTGTTCTGCGATTTGCGAGTATTAATCAGTATTAATGTATATTGGGGTTTTCAATCGAGAACATCAACTAGAACTGTAAAAGAAACTATAATTTTTGTGAAATTTTATCATTTTTGCTTTCACAATAAAATTTAATTTACCTAACGATAAACAGCAGACATATTTTAAAATAATTTACAACAATTTGTCCAACAATTTCTTTTTATTTTGTTCTCCAAAATAAATGTTTTTCAACAATTCGTATGTAAGCAATGTGATGTAACAATTTGGACAAATAAACAACAATAATAAAAAAAATATTTTGCAAACTAGTTTTCACTTATTATTGTGTCTTTAAAAAGCTAGTAAGTGGCGCAACAATTTCAAAGGTCGCTTTCCTAGGCCGCTCAAATTGAGGCAAAGCTGCTCCTTAATTGCACAGAGGCGCCTCGCGGAATTTGCATACAATTCGCGGCACATCGCAGCCAAACTCTTTCATTCCACCATTCGCCCGCCATTCTCTGCGGAGGCGCAAAACCAGCTCGGCTCGTTTCAGCCAGCAAATTTTCATACCCTACCATGTTTCGACTCTTCAGCGAAAACTATAAATATCATCAGTAGATTCTGTAATTGTTTTTAAAATGTATTAAGACGTTTGAGTTTTTTTCCCATTTATTTGCAATTTTAAATTAATTCATCATTCATTAATTTTTCTCTTGTGACATTTACATGGTGAATTAATCTATACCAATCTTTTATACACATTGTTTTGTCCAACAATTCCGATGAAGATATGGAAAAAAGTTTAAACCTTCATTTTATTAAAAAAAAAAAAATTTTTAAAATATTATAAAAAAAAAAAAAGAAAAATTCTGTTTCAAAGTTACTTGTCAAAAACTATGAAACTTTTTTAATTTTAGTACTGAAATTTTTTTGAAGAAATAATTTCTAGAATTTTATCAACAATTTTAGAAGCGAGTGCCGGAACGGGGTAGGGCATGAAAATTCGCTGCGTGTACTTATGGCTGCCTGCCTAAACTTACACACTCACATACACGCAGGCAAGGCTGTAAATCCTTTTCGTATCTCGCTCCTTCATGCCGCCGTATAGACGACATTCATATCTATATAACGCAATGAGTGCTTCCGTTTATCAGCGTGTACCAGGCCACGCACACTCTCATCCAGTTTTATCCTGGCCGCGCATACATGTGGCCGTAAGATTCATATCGGGCCGGCCGTCCGCCTTCGCCGCCGACAAAGAACAAATCCGTGCATAATACACACATTTTTTTCTCCACCGCACCGAGCGATCCGTTATATGCGACTGCGGATTTCCGCCCATTGAAAACATTGAATTTTCCGCTCGTTCGGCAGCCACTTTCGGAGATCGCGAATGATGACTTCTCCTTTATGGCACTTTCGCTTTTTATTGGTTTGGAGCCGTTCCTCGCACTCCGGGCAAAAACTTAAGATTTCTTTGCGCTCGCAAACTTCTGCAAGATGAAAAATGATTCCTGCTTGATAAATTTATTTCATCTGTTTCACTTACTCGCGGAAACAAAAAGTTTTTTAAAATGTGTTTCAGTTCTTCCTCACTTAATAGTAGAATTCGTCCTCTTTAATCATTTAATTTTACTATGTTATATAGAATTTTTAAAATTCTTTAAAGTCATTAGAGGAATAGATAGTGTTTTCAGTTTTTTTTTTTTTTTTTTTTTTTTTACAAATAATCTGCTGGTTTTCACCAGGCATTATTATTATCATTGAACTGTTCTTTATTAATTGGGTTGTCATTGCAATGAGATTATTATAGAATATGTACAAAATTGAAACAGATAGTAAATTATTTTTGAATAACGTTCTAATTTACATTTGTTAAGCTCCCACATGAGATGTAAATGAAAAAATGAATTCGAAAAAAAATGCTAAAAGTTTATCTTTTTTAACCACAAACATTAATAAAGTAACAAATAACTTTAATATTGAAAAAAAAATTTAATTAAGTATTCTGAACTGAAAAATAAATCTATTTTATACAATTATAAATAAATGAAAAATTAACAAATTAACATTTAAGAGTAAGAAACGTTAAATTTTTTACAGTTTAAATTTCTTTTGGACATAGACTTTGCTCTGTGAATAGAACAACCCTTTGGAATGACCATTACCATTAAATTTGAAACTTTCATTTGCCGCAGAGTCGGCGGAAAATAGCTTGGCCGCGCGCGTTTAGTTACGCAAATATAATCCCGGGACCTAATTAATGCAGTTGCATCCCTTCCATAAAGCCAGACGTGCGGTAGGTCATAAAAGTAAATTATAAACCGCGCGCACACACACAGCAATTCCATAAAAATGCGCCGTGCTATGGTATTGCAAAGCGGCGTCTATCTATTTGAGGTCGCACACACACAAAAACTGTTTGCTCTTTTTCATTTTGACGCAAAGAAAAAGAAGGCGGCGGCAGCAGCAGCCGCTCTTTCTAGGGCGCATTCAGAGCGAGGTCCCGCGTGGATTGGAGCCGAGCGCGGAAGACAACTTTACGATCCTCTCGCCTCAATTCCGTTTTTTCTTCTTTAGATTCACCAGCTCGCACGAGCGGAATGTCGACCTGCCAAAGATTGCGAAAAACTGCCTGATATACGCCGCCGAGTAAAGTTGTAATTTATGACGTAGCAATTAAAGCACCGGATAGCTTTGATTTCGGCAGAATATATAATTGCGAGCCGAAATAAGTCATCTATCTATTAAAAATCACAAATACAATTCAATGTTATAAATTAATTTCATCTTTAGTCACTTTTTATTAAATGCATTCAAAATTTTGGACCAAAAGAAAAACTTTTTTATAAGAATAGCAGTGAAACGAAAGCTGAGAATAAGATTTTAAACTTTTTGATTTGATCAAAGGCTGGTGATATAAATGAAACTTTCCTACGTTAATAAATACAGTAAACACAAAATTTGCATTTGTCAGAGTAAAATAAATATTTTGTTGCACTTGATGTTGCAGAAAATGCGAGGGCTGCAGAAGAGCATCGAGGAAATGGGCGCGCGGCTGAACTCGGCCGAAAACCGGCGGCCAGAGTGGAGAAGCCCTGGGGACGCTGGCGAGGCGGCCGAGATGCTCGACGTCCAGCAGAGCGAGGCTTCCGGCCTCCAGAGGTCACTCGACGATTGCAACGATCAGGCGGCCAATATGGCGGCAAACGGCATTCAACTATCCCAATCCAGCGTGGCCAGGCTCGAAGACCTCAACACCAGGTTTGTGCCAATAACTTGATTAAATGTGTCAATTTATTATTTGAATCAATTCTAGAATGGGGAAAAATTCCAAGTTCAATTTTATTTTCAATATGCTTGTGATATAGTTTTTCAAAATAGAATTATTCTTATTCGAATTAAATTAAAATGTGTGTAAGATTCTTAAGCTTTATTTTGAATATTGTAATATTATTTTAAATTTTTGGAATATTTATGATTTTATTAATTTTAAATTTTTTTAAATTTTAATTCTTCTACTGAGTTGATTGGCAATAGTTTAAAAGACTAGGTGCAAAATTTCATAAGCAAAATCCAATTTATTCACTTTTTTTAAGAATTACATTTTAAATTAAGAAATTCTTGAATTACGCTTAACCATGTCATTTCTTCATAGAGAATCACAGAGAATCAGAACGTAGCATTGTCATTTTCAAGCACAATTTAAAATTAAAAAATACAATATTAATAAACTTCCTCTGGAATTCGGGAAAAAATATCTTACTAGCAATGAGAGAGATTTTATTAGTCTTTTACGAGGATCTTTTTCAACTAGAGTAAGATCCAAAAAATTATCATTTTTGGTGGGAAAAGGGATAATTTTTTCGCCAGTTTAATAAAATTAGACCTTCAGCAATTTCAGTTGAGCTTTACTTTTTATTAAATATTTTGTTCATTCAATTCCTGTTTTGTAGAAATTATGCAAAATTCAACTCGATTTCATACAAACCATTTCAAGATGAAATTGCATCTTCCGAGAGCAATTAACCGCTTCGGCCACGTAGATAATCGAAGCGGTTGCATTTAAAAATCCTCGTCATGCCAATTAACTCTCTCCCCACGAACGGGCATTTAAATGATTCAGCACGGTCATTAGTCACTCTCCACGAGAGCACCCTTGAAGGTTTACCATCGGCCGACTCAAGACCCATTTGGCTCACAATTACGCCAAGGGTCATTGTTTTGCGAGCCACGTGTGCTGCCGAGCAAGCGAGCGAGCGACGCACAAAACAATTTTCGCCGACGGACCCGCCGCCGAAACGACTGTCTCGATAACGCCCGAGTATTATTACTACTGCCTTAAACTGCGCTGCTAAACCAATTATGAGCCACCGCATGTGCTCGCCCGCCCAAGTGCAGATCTCTCCATTTTGCTACCGGGTTAATTATTCAATTGCACCATTGATAGCAGGAACGAAGCGATATTGAATTTCGTGCAAGTGTAATAAATCATCGCAAGATTTTCCATGATATTCTTCGCCTCAGCGGTTCTCCTCGCCTGCTTTTGCTTTATTCATAAACCGAGCTGAAGAATTTGCCTGCGAAGGAATATTAATGAGGATTAGATAGAAAATACATACAGTGTATCAAAGGAGGGAAGCGTTTTCTTTGTGCTCGTCAGCAAGCTCGCATTAACATATATTATTATTTTGCGGTTGCTTTCCTGTAGCTGCCGCTTAACCAAGTACTCGCCCACACGAAACCGCAGCAATGGCTGATGTGAACATTGTGAACAACTTAAATTAGCGTTTGGAGGATCTGTTTTCTGCGAATCAAAATCTCTGTTTGAAAAACACATCTTTGCCTGACAAATTTACGTACAAATATGATAGTTTTCCTATTGCAAGGAAAATCGTAAAAAGTTTCTTGATTTTTATTTCTTGCGTTCATGAGTGGGTATGCAACCTGCTGTGCTCCGTTGTGAAGCACATTGCCTATTCTTTAAAAAGGTGTCGTTTTATCAATTTTCTAAACTTTTTTTTATATAAATACTATTATAAATTCAGATTTTCAAAATAATTTTTTTAATCATCGGGAGAATTCTTTTTTAACAAAAAGATATTCATTTTAGAGAATTTCGTTTTGGATTTAATCGAATTGGATTTTCTAATTTGCAGGTGGCGAGCCCTGCAGAGAGCCTCAGACGACCGGATCCGAATGCTGGCCCAAGCAGCGCGAGACGGCGCCCCTGCTTCCTCTAGTGCGGCTCCTTCAAGCCTAGCTTACTTAGCAGCCTCCGTGGAGCCACCTTGGGAAAGGGCAGTTACTCCTGCCAAAGTGCCTTATTACATCAAGTCAGTTTTGTAATTTTTCATTTTTTGTTTGTTTAATAATTACTTTTATATCTGCAGTCATCAAACTGAGACTACTCACTGGGATCACCCCAAACTTTGCGAGCTGATGGGCTCCCTATCGGAACTCAACGAAGTTCGATTCTCAGCCTACAGGACGGCCATGAAGCTGCGAACCGTTCAAAAGAGACTCAATTGTAAGTTAGAGAGATGAAATTCATTTATTAAAAAAATCATGCGTTGCCCCCTTAGTCATTATTTATTATTACTATATTGTTATTTTTTATTTAAAAAAAGCATTTTTCAGTGGAGTTGTAATATTTTGGAGATAATATTTTAAGAAAATGTATTATTTTAGTGGATTTGCTGCCAATGACGACAGCACTGGAGGCTTTCGATGCTCACGGTCTGAGAGCCCAAAACGACCGGCTGCTGGATGTGACAGACATGGCCTCAGTCCTGGGCTCGCTTTACATCCTATTGCCGCAAGGAAGCATGCCCGGGCCTCTGTTTGTTGATCTCTGCCTCAACTGGCTTCTGAATGTCTATGATAGGTTTGTTTAATTTACTTTTGTATCAAAGTACAATATTAATTTTAATTAAATTTTGCAGTCAAAGAACTGGTCAAATCAGAGTGCTGTCTTTTAAAGTGGGGCTGATTCTACTTTGCCACGGTCACCTGGAAGAGAAATATCGATGTAATTATATTTTAATTTTTACTAATTAAAACCTTCAGTTATAATAAATAATAAATAAACTTTCTTTAATCGAGTGGAGTTTAAAAGCAAAAAAAAATCTTCCAGATTTGTTCCGACTTATTGCGGACCCCAACAGAATGGCAGATCAGAGAAAGCTTGGTCTGCTTCTGCATGACTGCATCCAAGTTCCAAGACAATTAGGTGAGGTTGCTGCTTTCGGAGGTTCCAACATTGAGCCGTCAGTTCGAAGTTGCTTCGAGAAGGCAGGAAAAGACAGACAGTCCATTGAGGTAAACAAAAATTACATCCTCAATTTTAGTCTATAACTTCCTTTTAAACTAAAAACCAGGCTGTCCACTTCTTGAACTGGCTCCAGCAAGAGCCGCAGAGTTTGGTTTGGCTGCCTGTGCTCCACAGAATGGCCGCCGCCGAAACGGCCAAACACCAGGCCAAGTGCAACATTTGCAAAGAATATCCAATCGTAGGCTTCAGGTAAAAACAGATTTTTTTCTTCTTTTCTTTAGTAAATTCGTAATATAAATTTTTTCGTACAGATATCGATGTCTGAAGTGTTTCAACTTTGACATGTGCCAAACGTGCTTCTTCTCTGGCAAAAAAGCTAAAAACCACAAGCTCACTCATCCAATGCAGGAGTACTGCACAGCTGTGAGTTTATCGGCAGCCAATTATATTATTGAATCCAATCTAAATACCTGCTTTCTCCATTTCAGACAACATCAGGAGAAGACGTGCGCGACTTCACCAGGGCGCTGAGAAACAAATTCAAGTCGAAGCGTTATTTCAAGAAGCACCCGCGCGTTGGCTACTTGCCTGTGCAGACCGTCCTCGAAGGGGACGCCCTCGAGAGTCCGGCGCCTTCACCACAGCACGCTTCAGCCCTGGGCGGCGCCCACGGAGAAATGCATTCCAGGCTGGAAATGTACGCCTCGAGACTGGCCGAGGTGGAGCTGCGAGGGACAACGCCCTCCGAGAGGGGAACACACCAAAGAAGCAATTCAACGCCAGACTCGTAAGTCTTTGACAAATTTAGAAAGAAGGAGAAAGCATTTTAATTTGCAGTCCTTACAATTTCAGTGAGGATGAGCACCAGCTCATCGCTCAGTACTGCCAAAGTTTAAATGGAGGCCCTGGAGAGCCATTGATCGCTCCGAGAAGTCCAGTCCAGATTTTGGCTGCAGTTGATGCTGGACAGAGAGAAGAACTTGAAGCCATGATCAGGTGCGGAATCAATTGAGATACAAATTTGAAACTTTGGTTTGTCACAATGGTGAGCTGCAAAATTATGCTCGCGAGCAGCTCAATCTCAAGAGACCCTGAAAATAATTCAAATCTCGTCGGATGTAGAGGAATATTTCAACACTTGTCTAATGTAGTGAAATATCTCAACAATCGGCTGATGTGGTGAAATATCTCAACACTCGGCTGATGTGGTGAAATATCTCAACACTTGGTTGATGTAGAGAAATATTTCTACACTCGTGCTCATTGGTGCTCGCAAGCAAAATTTTGCCCACTCTTGCTCGCGAGCATTTCATGCTCAGAAACCCAGCTTAATTTAGATACTAACTCCTTCAATATTTCCAAAACAGAGAGTTGGAGGAAGAAAACGCCTCTCTTCAGGCCGAGTACGAGAGACTTCGGGCGAGGCAGACGATCACTCCCGGTTCCACTCCTGGAGACGACGGATTCGGTCCAGCACCTGGCGCGGACATGCTGGCGGAGGCAAAACTCCTGCGACAGCACAAAGGCCGCTTGGAGGCGAGAATGCAGATTTTAGAGGATCACAACCGACAACTGGAGGCTCAGCTGCAGAGGCTCAGGCAACTTTTGGACGAACCGAGTGGAAACTCGCCGAGCAAGACGGGCACTCTGCAGACCCGTTCGGTCACTGCCTCTCAACTGGCCACCGACTCCCCTGCCAAAATGAATGGCCATTATCACGATGGTAACTTTTCAAATTGATTTTTGTTTTAAAATCTCAACGCTCGTCTTAGGCAATGCACGATGGGAGGGAAGGAACACAAGCAGTCTGGACAGACCACCCCCACCATCAATGCCTACCTCTGGCGCACAAGTTGGAAATCTCTTGCACATGGCAGGTAAGATCGAGAGCAAATATTTAAAGGAGACAATTAAACAACAATTAATTAAATAATGGTAAAAAAATAAGACAAAAATCTCTCTTTGTATTTTTCCACGCAGGCCGCACTTAGGAAACAAAATGGTTTGTGACATTAAAATAATTTGATTTTTACTTTTCTTATTTTTAGAATAATTTTGCATTCAAAATTATTTTTTCGTCATAAATTTACTACAAGAATGAACAAGAATCTAGTAGCAAATTTATTTTATATTGCATTTTTTTTTCATTTGATTTTAGTTAGAAGTTTGAAACTTTATATTCAAATTAAATGAATGCTCATTGATCATTTTATAATTTGACCTTTGTCTACAAAATTTCATATTTTTATTATTTACTTTTTCAGGTGACTTGGGCAAAGTGGTGGGCGAACTAGTAAATGTGATGACTGAAGATGAAAGCCAAAGTGAACTTACTAACGATGCAGTTGAAGGAGAAATAAGTGTTTCCGATGTGGCAACCGGCAGCAAGCAACCAGAACAGTAATATCAATTAATCTATACTGGATGAACACTACTTTTTTGCCAAATATCAAGCGCAAAAAAACAACTCGATAACAAAAGCTCTACAATACACACACACTATAACATTATCCGCATATCAAGGCCCATATCAATGAGATATTATCTTACAAGGAAAGAGAAACAAAATTTGTAGCCCTTGTTGAATATCGTAAAGTAACGTTGGTGTGCAATAAAAAAAATTATAATAATATAATCAAATAATATTGTGGTCAAATGTCAAATGAAAGGGTCTAAAATCTATATTATGGTTTTCTTATAGGAACTGTAAGTGATACTATTTTATTGGTTATTGGGATAAAAAAATATCACTGGCTCATGAATGCATAACCATCTCATTTTCAAAAACTTCCATTAGCATATCAATCAAATACGACTACAGCGACAGAGAGGCAATAAACTTGGAAACCAGACGCATTTTATCAGTTGTGTAAAAGGTGCTTTGTGCAACATATCAAAATTTGGTGTGCTTCTGGGAAATCTGCTTTCAACTATACTCACATCCTCTCTCTTTTTGTAACAATTTTCTATATAAATAAATAATAGCCTTTGTCACAAAAAACAGCATCAACTTTTTCAAGCATCTTGATATATATAAAAGTAGTAAACAAAAACACACTCTTTCTTGCTGTTCTGAGCAGAAAGAATAGATGGGATAATTGGGACCTCTCTTTCGATAGAGATAATTAATTACACAATATTTTAAGCACAAAATAAAAACAGCTTCATCCTAGGTCTTAGGTAAGAAATAGGTCTGCTCAAACAACCATGTTGTTCCCATTATTTATGTAATTTACTGTGTGTTAATCAACATATGAAAAAGAAATTAATATCATTAGAGGAATACAAATTATACTAAAAATTGTATCTCATCATTCTCTTCCAATACGATAACTGATGAATTAATAATTGTTATAAAAAAAATAAACATGCAAATCTCTCAGTCCATAAAAGTTATTATACTAAATGTTGACTAAAAAAAATATGTTAATTTGGAAATCCCTGTAGTTGGAAATCGATGTCCTTTTCTGACGCGTTGCGAATAAAAAAGAATCGGAATAATAACGGCATTTTGCAGCATTGCTTCACAGCAATAGAATAGATGATGTTTGTAAAAAAATGAGTTTTGGTGAAAGGAATAATAAATTGTAATTATTGAGGAAAATTTAGGGGAAGTTTAAGTACTTGTATTATTACAATAATAAGAAAAAGTAGTGTTGTGATTGATCAAATGATTTGCTGTGGCTGGAAATCAATTTTAAATCTCAAACCACATAATATTTATAAATGTGACACGGAATATATTGTAGTCATCAGCAGTGACTGGGGTGTGGAATAACATTGAATATATGATGTGGAACACGATGTGGACGATAGAAATACAATTTTAATAAAGAAATGCAGATGAATTTATGTTGTTTTTTTAAACTTATTTTACGAAAAAAAAAAAAAAAATTTTTATTCAAATTTCGATATTTTTTTATAAAAAATTTATTATTAAAATTAATAATAAGTTTCCTAACTTTATGAAACATAGTTTTTTTAAACTTATTTTACAAAAAAAATTTAAATCTTTTTATTTAAAGCTCGCGCTCGTGCTGCACCGATTTTCTGCGCCGATTGCGCCGCCGATTTGCGGTGCCGATTTCCTACGGCTTTTGTTAAAAAAACTCAAAAATGTTTATAAAAAATTTAATATGAAAATGAATAATAATTTTTTTAAATTTATGAAATATATAGTTTTTTTAAATTTATTATATGAAAAAAATTTAAATCTTTTTTTTGAAAGCTCGCGCTCGTGCTGCACCGATTGTGGCGCAGATTTGCGGTGCCGATTTGCTACGGATTTTTAAAAAAAAAACCAAAATTTTTTATTCAAATTTCTATATTTTTTTTTTTTATATAAAATTGACAGTAAGTTCATCTGGCTCAGCAGTCGAAATAGTTGGTGGCCGGTTGACGGAATGCAACTCTTCAATGCATCTGTTGGATCCAACTCTTTCGTCGGTGCAAAACTGTTGGATCTGTTGAATTCTTGGTTTGATAGCCATAAGAAAAAGATTTATTTGACCAATTTACTTTAATGAAAAAGGCTTTAAATATTTGGGCAACACTTCAGATGAAAGAAAATCATAATTTTTTCTTTTTACTTTTTCATGTTCACAATTTTTTTCCATTTTGATTTGTTAAGTGTAATTGAAAGATATAGCGAATATAATTTCTCTACAGATGAGAAAATTAATTTAAGAATTGTAATGTTTTGGAGTTGCAAAATGTAATTTTACATGCATAAAATTACAAAAAAAAAAATAGCTGCTCATATGAGCACCTCAAATGAACGCTTGTCATTTTTTAGTCGCTTTGTAGTCAACTTGGAGTCGTTTTGAAGTCGATGTGTAGGACTCCCAAAATGCGAAAAAAAAATTTAAATCTTTTTTTTTAAAGCCCGCGCTTGTGCTGCTCCGATTTGCGGAGCCGATTTGCTACGGTTTTTGTAAAAAAAACTCAAAAATTTTTTTATTCAAAATTCTATTTTTTTTTTTATAAAAAATTTAATATTAAAATGAATAATTATTTTCCTAAGTTTATGAAATATAGTTTTTTAAACTAATTTTACGAAAAAAAAATTAAAACTTCTTTTTTAAAGCTCGCGCTCATGCTGCACCGATTTGCGGCGCCGATTTGCGGTGCCGATTTGCGACGGATTTTGTTAAAAAAAACTCAAAAATTTTTTTATTCAAATTTCGATATTTTTTATAACAAATTTTATACATATTAAAATTAATAATAAGTTTCCTAAATTTATGAAAATATAGTTTTTTTAAACTTATATTACGAAAAAAAATTTAAATCTTTTTTTTTTGAAAGCTCGCGCTCGTGGTGCACCGATTTGCGGCGCCGATTTGCGGTGCCGATTTGCGACGGATTTTGTTAAAAAAAACTCAAAATTTTTTTATTCTAATTTCGATATTTTTTATAACAAATTTTATACATATTAAAATTAATAATAAGTTTCCTAAATTTATTATTATTATTTTGTTAAAAATGCTCGAATTTTTTTTATTTAAATTTCTATATTTTTTTATAAAAATTTAATATTTAAATGAATAATTATTTTCCTAAATTTATGAAACATAGATTTTTTAAACTTATTTTACAAAAAAAATTTAAATCTTTTTTTTTAAAGCTCGCGCTCGTGCTGCACCGATTTGCGGGGCCGATTTGCGGGGCCGATTTGCGGGGCCGATTTGCGGGGCCGATTTGCGGGGCCGATTTGCGGGGCCGATTTGCGGGGCCGATTTGCGGGGCCGATTTGCGGGGCCGATTTGCGGGGCCGATTTGCGGCGCCGATTTGCGGCGCCGATTTGCGGGGCCGATTTGCGGCGCCGATTGCGGCGCCGATTGCGGCGCCGATTTGCGGCGCCGATTGCGGCGCCGATTGCGGCGCCGATTTGCGGTGCCGATTTGCTACGGATTTTGTAAAAAAAAGCTCAAAAATTTTTTTATTCAAATTCTATTTTTTTTTTTTAAAAATTTAATATTAAAATTAATAATATTTTTCCTTAATTTACTTATTTTTTAAACTTATTTTACGAAAAAAAATTTAAATCTTTTTTTTTTTAGAGCTCGTGCTGCACCGATTTGCGGCGCCGATTTGCGGGGCCGATTTGCGGCGCCGATTTGCGGTGCCGATTTGCTACGGATTTTGTAAAAAAAACTCAAAAATTTTTTTATTCAAAATTCTATTTTTTTTTTTATAAAAAATTTAATATTAAAATTAATAATATTTTTCCTTAATTTACTTATTTTTTAAACTTATTTTACGAAAAAAAATTTAAATTTTTTTTTTAAGCTCGTGCTGCACCGATTTGCGGTGCCGATTTGCGGCGCCGATTTGCTACGGATTTTGTTAAAGATGCTCGAATTTTTTTTATTTAAATTTCTATATTTTTTTTTTAAAATTTAATATTAAAATGAATAATTATTTTCCTAAATTTATGAAATATAGTTTTTTTAAACTTATTTTACGAAAAAAAAATTAAATCTTTTTTTTTTAAAGCTCGTGCTGCACCGATTTGCGGCGCCGATTTGCGGCGCCGATTGCGGCGCCGATTTGCGGTGCCGATTTGCTACGGATTTTGTAAAAAAAAGCTCAAAAATTTTTTTATTCAAATTCAATTTTTTTTTAAAAACATTTAAAATTAAAATTAATAATATTTTTCCTTAATTTACTTATTTTATTTTTTAAACTTATTTTACGAAAAAAAATTTAAATCTTTTTTTTTAGAGCTCGTGCTGCACCGATTTGCGGCACTGATTTGCGGGGCCGATTTGCGGCGCCGATTGCGGCGCCGATTTGCGGTGCCGATTTGCTACGGATTTTTAAAAAAAAACTCAAAAATTTTTTTATTCAAAATTCTATTTTTTTTATAAAAAATTTAATATTAAAATTAATAATATTTTTCCTTCATTTACTTATTTTACGAAAAAAATTTTAAATCTTTTTTTTTTAGAGCTCGTGCTGCACCGATTTGCGGCGCCGATTTGCGGCGCCGATTTGCGGGGCCGATTTTCGGGGCCGATTTTCGGGGCCGATTTTCGGGGCCGATTGCGGCGCCGATTTGCGGTGCCGATTTGCTACGGATTTTTTAAAAAAAACTCAAAAATTTTTTTATTCAAAATTCTATTTTTTTTATAAAAAATTTAATATTAAAATTAATAATATTTTTCCTTAATTTACTTATTTTTTAAACTTATTTTACGAAAAAAAATTTAAATCTTTTTTTTTTTAGAGCTCGTGCTGCACCGATTTGCGGCGCCGATTTGCGGCGCCGATTTGCGGTGCCGATTTGCTACGGATTTTGTAAAAAAAAGCTCAAAAATTTTTTTATTCAAATTCTATTTTTTTTTAAAAACATTTAAAATTAAAATTAATAATATTTTTCCTTAATTTACTTATTTTATTTTTTAAACTTATTTTACGAAAAAAAATTTAAATCTTTTTTTTTTAGAGCTCGTGCTGCACCGATTTGCGGCACTGATTTGCGGGGCCGATTTGCGGCGCCGATTGCGGCGCCGATTTGCGGTGCCGATTTGCTACGGATTTTTAAAAAAAAACTCAAAAATTTTTTTAATCAAAATTCTATTTTTTTTATAAAAAATTTAATATTAAAATTAATAATATTTTTCCTTCATTTACTTATTTTACGAAAAAAATTTTAAATCTTTTTTTTTTAGAGCTCGTGCTGCACCGATTTGCGGCGCCGATTTGCGGCGCCGATTTGCGGGGCCGATTTTCGGGGCCGATTATCGGGGCCGATTGCAGCGCCGATTTGCGGTGCCGATTTGCTACGGATTTTTTAAAAAAAACTCAAAAATTTTTTTATTCAAAATTCTATTTTTTTTATAAAAAATTTAATATTAAAATTAATAATATTTTTCCTTAATTTACTTATTTTTTAAACTTATTTTACGAAAAAAAATTTAAATCTTTTTTTTTTTAGAGCTCGTGCTGCACCGATTTGCGGCGCCGATTTGCGGCGCCGATTTGCGGTGCCGATTTGCTACGGATTTTGTAAAAAAAACTCAAAAATTTTTTTATTCAAAATTCTATTTTTTTTTATAAAAAATTTAATATTAAAATTAATAATATTTTTCCTTAATTTACTTATTTTTTTAACTTCTTTTACGAAAAAAAATTTAAATCTTTTTTTTTTAAAGCTCTTGCAGCACCGATTTGCGGCGCCGATTTGCGGGGCCGATTTGCGGGGCCGATTTGCGGGGCCGATTTGCGGCGCCGATTGCGGCGCCGATTTGCGGTGCCGATTTGCTACGGATTTTGTAAAAAAAACTCTAAAATTTTTTTATTCAAAATTCTATATTTTTATAAAAAATTTAATATTAAAATTAATAATATTTTTCCTAAATTTACATATTTTTTTAAACTTATTTTACGAAAAAAAAATTAAATCTTTTTTTTTTAAAGCTCGTGCTGCACCGATTTGCGGCGCCGATTTGCGGTGCCGATTTGCTACGGATTTTGTTAAAAAAACTCGAAAAATTATTTTATGCAAATTTCTACATTTATTATAAAAAATTTAATATTAAAATTAATAATAAGTTTCCTAAATTTATGAAATATGGTTTTTTTTAAAATTATTTTACGAAAAAAAAATTAAAATCTTTTTTTTTTAAACCCGCGCTCGTGCTGCACCGATTTGCGGCGCCGATTGCGGCGCCGATTGCGGCGCCGATTTGCTACAGATTTAGTTAAAAAAACTCAAAAATTATTTTTCTCAAAATTCTTTTTTTTATATAAAATTTAATATTAAAATTAATAATATTTTTCCTAAATTTATTTATTTTTTAAACTAATTTTACGAAAAAAATTAAAATCTTATTTTTAAAGCTCGTGCTGCACCGATTTGCGGTGCCGATTTGCAGCGCCGATTTGCGGCGCCGATTTGCGGCGCCGATTTGCTACGGATTTTGTAAAAAAAAACTCAAAAATTATTTTTATTTAATTTTCTATATATTTTCTTACAAAAATTTAATATTTAAATTAATAATTATTTTCCTAAATTTATGAATTATAGTTTTCTTAGCTTTCCCTAATATCTTGTTAAGTGCAAAATTATTTATTTGTTAGTCTTCGAGTATTTAAAATTATTTATAAAAATATGAAATCATTATACATACCAATACGTGTAGCCAGAAATAAACAAAAATGAATATTATATAGTTTTTATTTTTATTAATTTTATATTTATTGTTACTGACAAAATATTTGGTGAAAAACAATTAATGAAAAATCAATTTGGCTATTTTAGGCTAACAAAATATCTTTTAAGTTATCATTTGATTAATAATTTTTTAAATTATTATTTGTATTTTTTTTTACCTAATAGTCAATAAGTCTTTTATTTTAACACTTGCGTGTACATGCGCTTCAGTAGCAGCACCAAAATATACATCTAATTTTACATTTTGGCACCAGGTGGTGCTCGCGTCAGTTTTGTCGGTTTACAACCAAGATCATAGTGGTTCAGTGGTTCAGCGGGATTATCAAGAGCCCCTGCTAAATTGCGCAGACTGTGGAATGGTGAATTATTACAAAGTAATGAGTGATATTGGCTACAATACTGATCACAATATATACATCTGCAATTTGGTACAGCATAGTGAACAATCAAATACACCCTAAATCGCGCCACTGCAGGCTGCAGCACCCTAGCGGCGTCCCAGCGTACTAACAATAACAATTTCCCATGCGGAGGTGTGTCGATTGCAAATGAAAACAAAAGTTTTTCGGCAAAATTATTAATTTTTTTCTTAAGTTTTACTCGTAATAAGAAAGATAATGAACTCCCTTAATTCAATGCGAATACTCCTTGGGAGCAGCACTTTGCGAAAAAGGTTTGCTTCTTGTTTCTTTTTTTAATTTTCCTTCATTCTTTCTAAAAAATCATGTACATACATAATATGTATTTCAATTTTAAATAATTTTTGAATACGCTGGTTTTGAAAAATGTGACCTAAAATGACTGTGATTTAATTTTTTCAGTGCACCTAGTCCTTTAGTGCAGCAAATGAGACACAAGAAAAACTTTCCTCTGACGCCAAAGATCCAAAACCCGATTTGGTTTCCCAAGAAAGAAAGAGCGGTGCGTATTTATTATTTACACAAGAAATTGATTTGATGCTGAAATTCATCAAATAATTTCAGAGTTTCGACGAAGGGTTGACGAAAGAAAACCAGGCATTTGTCAAAGAAATGGTTTACCGAAGATTCGGTCCTCCGGCGATCATCAACGGCGTGGAAACCTTTGACCAGTCCCGCAGTGTCCTGAAGCAGGAACCGGTGGTTGCTGGCGAGTGGGCTCCTGGCGTCCGAAGGACTGGTCTGATTGCCCGAAACATTGGCGTCTATCCCATGTGGATGAAGGACGGAACGAAAATCGCCACCACCCTCTTGCAAGTCAGTTTGAATTTTAACAATTTGTTCATTAATGGGACTAATGATTTCTGCTGCATTCAGGTCGTGGACAACCATGTAATCAAATACATACCACCAGAATTATTTATAGACTCGAGAAAAGCACCAAGGCGGTACAAGAATGCTGGAAAATGGGGATGTCTCGTTGTTGGTGCCGAAAGTGGTGACCCACAAAAGGTATTATTTCATGAGAAGATTTTTGTAAAATTCTATAATATTGAAGCCTTTTTTAACCAAATTTGATTTAATGAAATTTTATCATACTCTGTATGTGTTAATTTTGACATTTTTTCCCAAGCAGAATGCAGGGATTTACACTAATTTTAATCATGTTAATTATAGTTTAGTAAAATTTGTTGAATTATACAGAATTTGAGTCATTGTTAATTTTTTTTAATGCTGTATGGTACATAATTATTAGGCCCGTGCATTTTAGAAAGTTTTTAAGGGTCAAAAAGTCAACTTTTTTTTAGTTGATTTTACAGAAATATTCTGGCCTTTTTTTTGCCAAAATCAATTTTTTTTTGCTTGGATTTTTTTGTGTCACTAGAACCGATTTTTTTAAACTTGCAGTTTAACAAATTTGCACTATTGGAAGCATGAAAAATATTTTATGACCAAATGTTCTTCATTTTTAAATTACCTAACTACCAATTATGCAGAACTTTGTGGTCCATACCTGATCCCTTCCTGATCCCTTAAATATCACAAATGATGGTTTCCAATCAATTATAATTGAAGTGAAGTTAAATTTTTTGGAATTCTATAAAATTTGAGTAGTTGCAAATTTTTTAATTCTTCATGGTAACTTTCAAATCAGCCAATGAAACCTACTCTGCTTTTTGTTGTCCTTCAAAATAAATTTTTTTTTCAGTTCACCAAAGAGTACTGCGGCCTCTTCAAAGACTCGGGAATTGCGCCGACAAAATTGCTGACCAGATTTCTGGTCTCCCCGCAAGCAGCGATCCAGCCTGGCACCCCTTTGTCTCCTCTTCACTTCCAAGTTGGAGATCGAATTGACGTTTTTGGCAGAACGTAGGAAAAATTTGATTCTCAATCCGATTATGATTATTTATTGGGCATTTTGAATTTTTCAGAAAGGAGAGAGGATTCCAGGGAGTGATGAAGAGGTGGGGCTTCAAGGGTATGCCGGCGTCTCACGGTGTCACAAAAACTCACAGGAGAGGAGGAAACATCGGCGCTGGCGGCAACAAAGGCAGAGTTTTCCCCGGAACCAAAATGCCTGGTTTCATGGGAGGGAGGAGAAGGACCATCAGGGGGTGCGAAGTGAGTATTTTTTTTTAAATAAACATTTTTTATGGCTGACTGTTTTAGTCATTCAAATTTTGTGATGACGTTCTGGGCATAAATCATGCAATTTATTCAATTCAAAATGGACTAAATTGATCAAAATCAACTTAAAACCAACCAAAATGTATAAACAGCAATAGAAAAAATTGTTTTTGGCGACAATTTAAAATCTTGGACAGAACATAGTACGTTTTTATTCTTTAGCACACATATTTGTCATATTTGTAATTTTTTTTTACTTTTTAATTTTTTTTTTAAATTGCTGGAATATTAAAATAGTTAAATATTTTGATATTCATAATCATCAACTAAAACTAAACTCTCTGCCTAAAATGTAATTAATTTGCCCAAGCCCAATTATTAAAAAATGATGATGAATTTTTGGGAGATTGAAGTATTGGTCGAATCGGCAGAATATTGCTACAACTTCCAAAACCAAAAAGACCCTCCTATCAGCCTCAGTGAGATAATTTTCTTGTATTTTTTCTTGCAGATTGTCCGAATCAACACCAAATACAATGTGATCTTCGTCCGAGGGCAGGCTATCCCAGGTGGACAGAATGGCATTGTCTTTTTGCACGACACCCTTCTCCCCTTGAAGTGGCACAAGACCAGTCCGAAGGCCTTCCCGACGTACTTCCCGCAAACTCAAGAAGAGGCACCTCTTGCTGACATTTACCACCAGGACCTCCACAACTTTGCCGCCCCCAGCATTCTGTACGAAGATGACGAAAAGCCAGACGAGAAGAAAAAGAAATAGGAAATTTGTTTTGTAAAGTGATAATTATGACATAAAAAAATCTCATGTAAAAAGTTACTCTCAGTATTGCTTTAACAATTTATTCCCATATAATTTTTAACGCTTTCGGTCAATGATTTATTCTTGTTCAAAATGTGAGACATCGGACTTTTTAGCATTGAAAACATTTTTTTTTTTTTTTACTTTTTGACCATTTTGAGGCTTTTGCAAATTTTTTTCTCTTTTAATTTCTTGATTTGTTTCTTCCCTGACGAAAAATAATTTGCAACAATTCATCAAAAACTTCAGGCACTTATTTTCCAAGTAAGGTTAAAATTTATGTGTCAGTTCAAGAGCCTTGATTTCTTTGAATATCAGTGATATCATAAATTTTTGGGCAAGAAAGATTCTGAAATTATCAATTTTTTTTAAATTGACTTATATTTTTATTTTAGAATTCCTAACAGCTTTCTAGAAAAAGTTGACTTTTTCTTTAAAACGACTTCTCCTTTGACTTAGCAACTAAAATTTGAACCCAAAAAGTGGCCTTATGGGGGCAAAAATTTTCAACAAAGGTTTAAAACTTTCAGGAAGTAATTTTTAATTATTCGCGGAACCGGGCTCATTTTCCTGGCTTGAGTCACACCGTGTGATTCAGTTCCAGCGTTGTAATGATGATCCACCGATGAAGAATGTGAATTGTGTGTCTTAATGTGGAGGCTGGGCGCTAATTAGAGTTGCACTTGCTCATTCACTCTCAAGAGGTGTCAGTTAAATGGGCCGCCGAGCGAACCAACGAACAGTGATGATCCATTAGTTTGACAGCCTGCGAACAGCGCTGTTCTCACGACATTATCTTCCAATCTGATGCTTTTACGCGATACTGACGCAACCCCAATCAAAACCGTGTAATTATCTGGCAGATCAATGCTGCTGATAAGCGACAGAGATCGCGCCCTTACATGAACTCTGCTGATTTTGCCGACCGTCTAATATGAGCCTATTGGGAATAAATTTTTTTTATTCAAATTTGGTAATCTACATTATTGCGGGGGCTCTCAACGCCTGTGTTACTATCTGTGAATTATATCAATGAAGTTCATAATAATTAATTATTTAGAATCGACAAGAGTAAAAAAATGTAAATAAAATTTTAATCAAAATCTATTATTCATAATAAAAGAATAGATATTTACTTTATGCAAGATTTTCTAATATTAATAAATTAATTTAATAAAAACATAAATAATTACATAGTATTTAAATGATTTAATTTATTGTTTATTACAGTGTGAATAATTAGTTAAATAAATTAATAATTATCTTTGTTTAAACTATTATTATTGGCTTTTGTATTTTTTTTTCACAATTTTGTTCTTTTTTTTTAAATGGTTCAATAAATTGAAACACATAACATTCTATTGGATGAAATATATATTAATATAGGACCCAACTTTTGTTATTAATTTCCTACTATGTATCTACACCATTTGATTTTTATTCTCAAATTTTATTACTTTGTAATTTTTCTTATTACTGAAAAAAAGGACCAGCAGATTGAGATGAAACCGCGATTTTACGGCGCGCCTCTCTTGACAGTTTACGCTATCCCGCTTGTATAATGACGGCTTAATTTTTCAAGAGAAAAAGGCAGCGTGTGAGAGTGGACGTGTGTAATTGGGCTCGACGTTTTCAGTCTTTGCTGCTGCATGCCTTGAATGTATGTAAACAGACGGATAATAAATTTCGGTATGAAAGAATGCGCGGCATCCGAGCGCCGATGACGCGGACAATATTTAATTTTAAGATGTTTTTAATGGCGTGTAGACAAGACAGAGATATATATTAATGCGCGCGGTAATAAGGCGCGCAAGTAGGTGCGGGGGACAATCTAACGAGCAGCCCCGAGATCAGATCCGTTTTTCTGCCGCGAAGGTGATGCCATTAGAAGTCAGATGGCCGCCGCAGATAAACTCATCATCTTGCGACGGACAGCTTTAATATTATATATACCCAGGCAGATAGGTATCCAACGTGTGTGTGTGTGCAAGCCAGGTGATACCATCGCGCCGAAACCTGACTTGCGCAACCATTAACGGCAGCAGAGTTATTACGAGCAGAATCTCAAGTGTGGTTAATAATTTGACGACGAGCATTAATTTTCAAAGAAAATCATAAAACAAATCGCCTGCGTGTTGAAAAATTTAATAAATAATCATTTTTATGGTCTTTTTGCACAAGAAAAATGACATCCAGAAAGCACTAATTCATTGACTGAAAAAGCATGCTCCAAATTTTTGTGAATGGAAATTATAATTTTTTTTTTTTTTTAGATAAAATTGCAGAGTTTAAAAAGTATTTTCTTACAGATCATAATTTTGTGTAGTAAAAAAAAAATCTAGTTTTTTTAATTGAAATTTGGCTTTTTATCTATGGTCTGTGGATTAGTACGTTTGAGACATTTTTTATTGATGTGTAAAAATTCTACTTCAACAAATTAAACAAAAAAGAAAAATTAGTATTTCAATTCAAACGCACCTTTAATTAAAACCCTCAATTGTGCAAAGGAACAAAATTTGCAAGAAATCTCCAGAGTCAAGAAAAAAAATATTGGAATTGTAAATTTATAAAATTGCAATCATTTTAAAAAATTGGTAGCAATTGAAAATTTTTTTATTTTCTTTAATTATCGGCTCCGATCTCCTCTAGGATTTTGTTTTATAATCTAAAAAAAAGTATATTTATCAGATATCTGCACATTGGGAGTGAATTGGCAAACAGCTTTAGCAAAGAATGACTAATATAATATGTATTGAACAGCATAAATTTTACTATTCTGTGAGTCGAATAGAAAAATAATTTAGCTCAAAAGATTGAGCGTTTGTATCTCTCGACGAAAAATTCTCAGCGTTGTATGTCCAGAGGTTTCAGCAGCTTCTCATTCATTCCTCGGCAGCGATTAGACAATAATTTCAAAATCCTATTTACCGCCTGAACAAACATGGTCTCGGCGTTCTCTACGGAGATGTTTATCAATGGAAAGGTCTGTTACATATAATGCCTTAAAATTGGGCATATTAAATGAGATAGCGATTTGTGTCCGTCCGAATCAAACTGATCAGATTTCCGCGCGCTTGAATACTGAGCCTCTTATGCGTAGCAGCAAATGAAAAAAGAAAGAAGAAAAAACGCAAGAATGAGAAACCCCAGAGCAGCAGAAATTTCAATTTTGTTTTCATCTCTTTCAAAACTTACATATTATTTGATGCTGCAGCTGTCGTTTTAGAGTTAACATTATCAAGGTTGTAACCTTGCAGAAGATATCGAAAAAGAAATTACATCTGAAAATATTTAAGCATTAAAATTACAGCTAAAAGTTGATCCTGGGGTCTAATTCTGTAAGTTTTTCGTTTCTATTTCCATTTCTATATTCATTTTCCATTTGCCATCCTATTCCATCCTATTTCCTATCCTATTTTCCATTCTATTTCGTCGCCTTTTTCGATTACGACTTCTATTTCGCAGCCTATCCATTTCCATTTCTAATTCGTCGTCAATTTTAATAGTTGAGCCATATTTATATTTATATATATATAAATATAAATAAATATCTATATTTATTTATAGTTAATTTAATTATTGCATATGCGCCTACAGTAATTTTCAAATGATTTTTAATATACTCAAGTCAATAAAATGTATAAAAAATTATTTGAATAAGGCGTTTAGTCAAAAGTACCTCAGTGTGGGCGCAAATTGTGGTACCACAGTGTGGGCGCAAATTAAGGTACCACAGTGTGGGCGCAAATTGTGGTACCACAGTGTGGGCGCAAATTGTGGTACCACAGTGTGGGCGCAAATTGTGGTACCACAGTGTGGGCGCAAATTGTGGTACCACAGTGTGGGAGCAAATTGTGGTACCACAGTGTGGGCGCAAATTGTGGTACCACAGTGTGGGAGCAAATTGTGGTACCACAGTGTGGGCGCAAATTGTGGTACCACAGTGTGGGCGCAAATTGTGGTACCACAGTGTGGGCGCAAATTGTGGTACCACAGTGTGGGAGCAAATTGTGGTACCACAGTGTGGGCGCAAATTGTGGTACCACAGTGTGGGAGCAAATTGTGGTACCACAGTGTGGGAGCAAATTGTGGTACCACAGTGTGGGAGCAAATTGTGGTACCACAGTGTGGGCGCAAATTGTGGTACCACAGTGTGGGCGCAAATTGTGGTACCACAGTGTGGGCGCAAATTGTGGTACCACAGTGTGGGCGCAAATTGTGGTACCACAGTGTGGGCGCAAATTGTGGTACCACAGTGTGGGAGCAAATTGTGGTACCACAGTGTGGGCGCAAATTGTGGTACCACAGTGTGGGAGCAAATTGTGGTACCACAGTGTGGGAGCAAATTGTGGTACCACAGTGTGGGAGCAAATTGTGGTACCACAGTGTGGGCGCAAATTGTGGTACCACAGTGTGGGCGCAAATTGTGGTACCACAGTGTGGGAGCAAATTGTGGTACCACAGTGTGGGCGCAAATTGTGGTACCACAGTGTGGGAGCAAATTGTGGTACCACAGTGTGGGAGCAAATTGTGGTACCACAGTGTGGGCGCAAATTGTGGTACCACAGTGTGGGAGCAAATTGTGGTACCACAGTGTGGGAGCAAATTGTGGTACCACAGTGTGGGAGCAAATTGTGGTACCACAGTGTGGGCGCAAATTGTGGTACCACAGTGTGGGCGCAAATTGTGGTATCACAGTGTGGGAGCAAATTGTGGTACCAAACAGCGCACGCGATGAATTAAATAATATAAAATACATGGTTGCTAATTTGCTAAAAAAAAATATTATAATTGTATTTGAATTCAACAAATTTTTAAGAAATGGATTAATTAACTTCGTGAAAGGAAAAATTATCTTGATCCCCCCTAATTATGAGCCATAAAAAGATTCGATTAAAAGGGGGTGCGAGAGACATATAAGAATTATAAATATACATTTTCATTAAAAATTAAATAATTCATATAATTTAATCAACCTGAATATTAAAAACCATTCGAAGAGCACTGTAAGCATAGGG